TTCAGTCATTTTTAAACATACCCAGCTGAAAATGTATACAGTGTAGTAGTATCAGAGAACTATCTTTAACAAAGTCTAAATGCAAATACAAAATCTCCATCCACTTTCCAACTATCTGAATCCCCATTGATGGGGACCCATCAGTGTATGAATGTGATTTAAAGCACTGATAGTCTCCATAGAACCATCTGTCTAGATTAGCTTGGTGTGGTAGAGTGCTGAATATATGGATAAATGAGTGCACAGAGATTGTACTCTCTTTAGTATCCTGGTTGGATAGAAAGGTGCTATATAAATACCATTTACCATTTGTGACACAACAGAGGCGGCTCTTGCCATAGACGAACTAGGCAGTCGCCTAGGACGCCATCTGCTGGAGGGGGCGCCGAACTGCAGAAGGAAAAAAGTAATTATTTGTAATCCCTGGTTGTAACTCTGCTCAGCGCCCCTTTCAATTAGCTTTGTCTAAAAAAAACTATAATGAAGTATTACAGGAAAAATAATCTACTCTACCCATAACCCCCCCACCCCAATGCAGCAAATGCCCCCACCCTCTCTCTCATTTGATTGACGTTGCACTGACTCCTCCTGCTCTGACACTCTGACGGGGGAGGGGCTAGTAGTGCCTCTCAGGTAGTGGTTCGTGTTGACAAACTCAATAACAACAAGTCTGTATTTTGTTGTCCCAAACATGTCAACCTCTTTGGACGTTTACCTGGATAAAAAGCCTCAAACATCCGTAAATTTTGCAAAAAGATCCATACAACTTGCACCGTGGGGGGTGGGGCAAATAAATCTTTTACCATAGTACCTTACACTGTCAAACTTGTTTTTAGGGGTTCAAATTAGGGTGGGTGGGACATAATTCGGGGCGGGGGATGGCGCTTCAACTCACCTAGGGCACCAAAATGGCTAGAGCCAGCACTGCACAACAATGAGCTTGTGGATAACAAAATATTGGTTTTGAGGACTGAAAATCAAATTAGCACTATTGGTGAAAACACACTCACACACCAGAAGTGTCACTATCTATAAGTAACAAGGCCTTTACACATTTACACATCCAGGGATGGAGCAGTCAACTTCGAGATTTCAAGCTAAACATGTTACCAGCAAGCTGTCAACTGATAGTTTATCAAAAAAAATGCTGTGTTTGAAGGACTGGACTACATCAGGATAATAAACACTCTGAAATTCTACGGACTTCGGTAAATCACACGTAGACGTACGTTGATGACACACAGTTAACACAAGTTAACAAGTTGATTATTTTTTTCATTCATTTTAGAAATCTAAGTTTTTGTTCCATCATCTGCAAGGTGTAAAATGAGCATCCCTGAATATTCCAACCAATGCAGCATAAATTTCTGTATTTATTTATGCATTTTTTTAGGGTACACAGTGTAACTCAAGTGACTCAAAAGAACAGTTATTTTAGTGATTGACAGATTACCCCGTTCCATAAAGTGAACCGGAATTAACAGCTCAACCCCAAAGTAGCAGTGGGTCCTTACATTTGGTGTTGGGGAAATGACCTCAAAATACAACAGAAACAAACACACCCTCACATGCCTTGCATCAAACTGAGGAAATTTTATTGATTTCCATTAATTTTTGTAACTGTATTTATGCATAATCCAGACGTTTTCCTTAAAACTAACCATTACTGGTCAATACAGGTGTTACATCATCTTTTGGGACCGTCATGTATTGTGACCAGAGGGGGCGTTGTTGCGTTTCTACAACAGAACTTGGCCGAATATGGCCACAAAGAAGAATATGATACGCCAACCATAGATATGTACAGTATTTATATGACGCCAACAGTGTGAGGCTGAAGACGTACGAAGAAACAAACAAAAACTTGTTGACTGTTGTTATCATACATGGTCAATATGACAGCTGTCATATATTGTGACTTCACTGTAGCTAAGGAAATAGTAAAAAAAAAAATAGTCAAAAACTATTTATACTAATTGTTTACATCCTCTAGTGTCAGAAAAATAACCTTTGATCACTGACACGGTGACTGTTATTAAATTAGTACAGGTTCACATAGTATGATAGCTATCATGTACAGTATAGTAATAATAATAGTAGTAATAGTAATAGTCAACATGCCGGTGATCAGAAGTTATTTTTCTGACATTAGAGGATGTATACAAGGTGTAGAATCAGCTTATGAATAAATATTTCTATTATTTACCAAGCTATACAGTGAAGTCACAATGACAACAGGTGTCATATTTTGTGACCTCTGGGATACACTTTTGGCGTTTCATATTCTTCTTCTTTGTGGCTATTTTCGGCCAGGTTCTGTTGTAGAAACGCAACAGCGCCCCCTCTGGTCACAATATATGACGGTCACAAAATACGGTGTAACACCTGGACAAGGTCCTCACTTTCAGAGGCGCCTGCAGATTTTTTTTTCGGGGGGGTGGG